TTTTCCTGTTATGAGCTGGTATACTAGTATGCAAAGCGCATTTCCTTCGTGCGTTGGTTCCTTGTCAAAGTGTGTCGAAGTGACTATAGACCAATAGTTGTTCTGTGTTATGATGCCGGTACGAAAGCAATCGGTGATCATTCTCCAATATTTGTTAATCAATCGCATAATGAACCCTTCGGATCTTCCGTTACTTTAGCAGGCTCTATGGCGTTCTTGTTGCCGTAGTTTTTCATAAGGGTCATGCATCCGTTTGTCAAAGGAGGGTACCTACCTGTGTTCCTGGAAGGGAAAAGGTTGCGAGGGCCTATGATATATGTATATTTATAAAAACTGAGAGCTTTGCCTGCCTCAGAACAGGATTAGTAGGTGCGAAACGCCTTGAATTGATGTCTGAAGCGTCAACCGCTGTTTCTTTTCTGTCTCACCTGGGGCCGGATTCAATCCTTCCCCCAAGGGGTTGGGGGACGAAAATCCCTTTAAATTTTCTCTGTCTTCCCAACTGGGATTGTCCTGATAAAGGGCCTACATTTAATGCATGTATGTAGGTCAAAGGAAAAGGGCTTACCACGCGAGCGGTCCGGGGATCAAATCCTGGGTCGTGAGTCGCCCGGGCCAACCAAGCCTTCCATCCCTCCGGGGTCGGTTAATTGGTACCAGACTTGTCTGGGAGGATAAAAACACTGACTTGTACATCGGCTGGCCCCGCAAGTCATTGTATAGGCCACATCGCATTCAAACGCCACTACGAATGTACAAATGGAAGTAGAATGCGTGCCGCATCCCTTGAATTCGGCCCCTGGGGCAAAATGTGTTCCACAACTCGGCGTCCTTGTGAGAACGCACGATATGTATCATATGTTATATCTAGTAGAAAATATACCAGGCTCTGGTTCTTTCTCAAAGTCTAGCTTAGGGGGTGTTACCACAGCGAAATACTGGGTATTTTCGTACAACGACCATTGCTGTGAATTTGTATGGCTCAAATTCAACGATTTTTGTTCATTCCCTACAGTTTTGAATCAATTTTCCACAATGCTATTGAAACAGAATCAAACCATCTTATATTTTCGCGCAAGCTCTTCACGACTGCAAATGCATTTCAGCATGTCTTCGCATTCAAGTGAATGAGGAAACAAGTCCGAGTTCGCCCACATTTCTCCCGAACGAGCTTTTGCCGATTTCATATTTGCCCACGTTGTTCTTCATCTTGTTGTTGCAAATTTCTTGGGTTAATTTTATTGTTATATTGGATTATTCCCACGAGTAAAAAAATCTGTGACTTTAAGTAATTTATTCAAGGCTGTTTATGGATTTGTTCTGCTATTGTACTTTCAATAGATTGATTTGTTGGTTATGTCAAATTTCGTTGTTACTTCTTTAGGTTTACTTGGTTGATATAGCTGTCTTGCTTTCCATTCTCTGCTGGTTTAAATTGGAGATAAATCATTTATCAGGATGTGTAGTTTGATATTATGCGTTCGAACGCAGTGCTTTACTGTATCTATTTTACAGTATCTCTAAGTCTCTTTGTTGAGATTTGCGTTTGTGTCATATTCAGAGCTCAGCTCATTACAAGTTTCTTCAGAGCCGACAAGATGTACATGAATCCGATGCGCCTCATCAAAAATTCAATCATGAAGCCCGCTTAGTAAGTCTCTTTTTTTCTCTTGAAATTGCTCTTCAATTTTCTTTCCAAGTCTCCCTATTTGGAGTTCCCTCGGCTCTAATGAGGACCAGGAGTGGCTGCATTAACGTCTCCTCGCTGTAGTCTATCTCGTTATGGCTTTTTTCATTACACACTCCTAAATTTGAAATGGAAAATACATGATCCTAGCTTCACTAGAATCATGCTCCTCGCTTATTCTATTCTTCGACAAGAACTGGTGGTGGACTTTTTTGGCGTTATAAAAATTGTATTAATTGACCGAGTGTTATTGCTAGTGTAGACTACGCATTCGAATTTCACCCAAATAATGAGGAAAAGCTGTAACGTATGCCGGTGAGAGTTAATATTGCTCAGCAAAATGGAACACCTTATGGGAGAAGAGTGTTTTTCCTTTAATGATTATTCTAACCTTAATTCAGTAGTACTATAATGTCATTGCTAAAGAAAATCCCAAACATATTCCTTTTCAATCAGTGTGAACTTCTTCTCCGACTCTTTGTTCCTAAAGTAAAAAAAAACTGAGTTACTGACCTTCATTATTAAGCGAAAGGGGAGTTCCCCAGAAACTTGGTGATGTAGAAGGCTCCCCTGGCTCCAAAGTGTCGCATGATGCGGCTTTGTTCTTTCGTCGTGAAAACTGCATCCTTCCCATGTGGGACGCGAGGATCGTTCCCCTATGTGCTCAGAAGGAAGTGTGTAGTCTAATTTTCAACATGTAACGATGATTCAATAGTACAAGATGGCAGATGAATTGCGGACAGTCTCTTTTTCATTGTTTGGTTGAGCTTAGAATCTACAGTAGTGCTTTCAGCAGGTTTTGTGTATTGACTGACTCATTGCCAGTCATCATTATGTAAATATTTGCAAACAAGTGGTCAGTCACAAAAAGTGCGTTACTGTTATGTAATTGAAACGAGTAATCGCCGCAGTCATACAGCACCCACGGCTGTTCCGAAATCGTGGAACTTCGTTTCCAACATGTCAAGGATTAGGTGGGTGTAGGCTCGGTGGCTGCGCAATTGCGACAGCGTGGTGGCCGTTTGCTACACAATTGCCGAAAGGAGCGTATCGTTATTGCTCTCTATGGCTTGCGTTGGGTACGTTTCGGTGCTCAGGTCGCGACGCGGCTACACCACGCTCAGCGATGTTCAATGAGTATAAGTTATCCGGAAGTATATTAGTAGTAAGTTCCGCAAGTGATTATAAATGGCAGAGTAGTAGAAAATTTCACTAGCCCACGCTGTAGAGAACATTAAAAGTATCCTTGAGCTGACTGTATAAGTGGAAACATGTTGCGGTCCGGTTTCTTTAACGTTCATGTTCTATTTCTTTTTTATAATGTTGTTATGTGGATAAACAGAAAACAGGTTTGATTTGTAAGTTTCTTAAGGTTGAAACTTCTGCTAACTGAGCATATTTTTTCATAAGGGAGAATATGTGGTTTAATTAAATATTGGAGTGCTGTGGATCTAGAATAATCAAAAATTCGGAGAAGTCCTGTAGCCACGACATAAAGGTCTTAGTTATATTGGGTTGGAGCATAATATCGTAGCGCTTGTATTTTTCATTTCTTCACACAAACATTTGAAGCAAAAAATAAAAACATAAAACTAATCAGTGGTCTTCGCTTCGTCATTATTTACAACTTTGATTGCATTTCGCAAGAGATCACCGGATGTATAGAAGTTTTAAAAATATATTTGAGCTCGTTTTCGAGAGGTTTATGTATTCTATTTGTAACGAACGAATACTTGTTCCAATTTGAGCGAAAAAAAGGTAGTCGGTTCAGAGGCAAGGTTGGATTGAGGGACAATTGAGCTCAAAACACAAATTTCTTATGTAAACAGAATAGCAGCTGTCGAAACGCCGACTTTTGCCGTCTGGATTTTCCAAATTCTAAGCTCATCACGGGGCGGAAGTGGTGTAGTGACAAGTGGCGCGCTTACCACGCGAGCGGTCCGGGGATCAAATCCTGGGTCGTGAGTCGCCCGGGCCAACCAAGCCTTCCATCCCTCCGGGGTCGGTTAATTGGTACCAGACTTGTCTGGGAGGATAAAAACACTGACTTGAACGGCTGGCCCCGCAAGTCATTGTATAGGCCACATCGCATTCAAACGCCACTACGAATGTACAAATGGAAGTAGAATGCGTGCCGCATCCCAAAAAGGGATTGATCAACGGCAAATGCTTTATCCTTTATCCTTTAAGCTCCATACCTAAGTACAGCTAAACGTTGAAGAAAATGACAACTAGTTTGGAGAAAGAAATCTAGCGGGAAGAGTACTGCCAAGAGCTATGAACAGTTTTTCAGGTTATACTTGTACTGACTGAATTTATACGCTCGGAAAACCGCTACGATATTGTGCTCCAACCCAATACTTTGCTTTCATGCCCATGAAAATAATTATGTACTTGTCGTTTACACACATGTTACGGTAGGGTTGTGGATAATACAAGAAAAAATCAGAAAGGAATTTGCGCATGTGCTCATGAATAGCGTGAAGAATGTTTTTAAGCGATGAATCACGTTTAGTAACTAGAACAAGATCCTTCTTCCTTAGATTTTTTTTACAATAACTGATCAAGTTTCCTTTGCCTTTTTTTTGTTCACTGCTCTGCATTTTTCACAAGGTTTATTTGAATGAGATCCTATAATTTTTTTCCCACACATTGCTCCCAGGACTCAACGATTGAGTCTTTGATTTCGTCTACAGCGCGCCGATACATCTAATTTCTCATTTTTGATGTGCGGAGGTGTAAGCTCTTCAAAAGCGAAACCACTCTTTTGCTACGCCTTCGTCCAGAAATATTGATTGTGGACTTAGACTGCGTAATTTGTCTACGCCTTGTCTTTTGTTGGTTGCCCAGGTGACCTCAAATGGCCATTGAGTGTCATCGGCCATTTACGACACTCGTGCTTACGAATTGAATTTCAGTTATCCTACGTACGGAGCATATGGAGTATCCGCATTCATCATGGCAATATACTTCTGCGAATGGAAGCAAGTCGGCCAGTATATTCCCCTCTGGGGCAGACGATATCCTGCTGATTAGAATCTCATGATAGATAATTTGTGTAGTGGAAGCTGTAGGATTGCAGGCTGTGAATATTTTACTCGTGATAAAAATTAGTGCAGCACGTGTAGTTTATTGAATGTGAAGTTAAAGCATACACTAATTTTCCTTTGATTATGTGTTTCCGGTGGTATTACGGTTTTTTGTGTGACCTCATTTGCTACTCGTTTTCCAATGTGCCTTTAGGAATCGATTTGGTGAGTCATAATTAGAAGGGCCATAGTTTGAGTGGTAAATTAGGGAAGGGCCGTAGTGACTCATAGTCTCCAATTTCAGGGACGAATCTCGATCACCACTGTCGCCTTTAGTAAAACCAGTTTTTCATAGATTAGAGAACGGTGTATGGTCGGCAATTGCGAAATGCGCCCTATAGTAGTTACTCATCTCTCATCTCTCAGCTGCTCGCCTCACAGTGTCAACAGAGGACCTGTTTAAGCACCAGTCACCAACTAATTTCGAAAACATCGTCGTTTACCTCGTGGCGACCAAGCGTTGTTGTTTAGCTTTTTCATATTTTTTCCTAGACTCACCTTTTTTAGACCATGTTTAAGTTCGTGTTACGGTTGTCTGATACGGCACAAGCTGATGCCTTGTTCTCAGAAGCATACGCCTGCCTTGATCAGGGACTCTGCTATGAGGAGGACAATGACAGGGTTTGTTTTGTTTTGATCTTTCAGCTCTTTTCGAAATTTTCTGTGATGAATTTCTTTTTGTTTCCACACATATGTCGGTTTTCCTCCTCCGTCCACAATTACGGGAAAACTTGAGCTGGACTACCCATTGTAAAGGTATTGTCCTCGTTCTCGCCTCTCCTCATAGGTTATTAACATCGATAGCGTAGTACTTAAGCGAAGTTAATTTTTTACACTGTGCTAGTAAAGTAAGGTCCTTCACTCGGTTCTTGATCGTCAGTTATTTCGATTGGTGTCAATGCGTGGGCAGTACCAAGTAGCGCCACTTACCGCATTGGTAACGTAGTGGTATGCGGCTATGTCCCATCGTATCCTGCCAGAGTTCACCAAGTGCGATCGTTGGAGCTGTCCAGCAATACGAAACTTGTCTGGGATCAAAACATTGACTTAAATCGACCGTAAGCCAAGTAGAAGTCAAGTGACGCCACCATTTAGAACGAAAGTAATAGATTGCTATCAGTCAAAATCAGATTCCCACTCATTAGCATAATGAGGCGAATAATCGAAGTATTTTAAAAGGCTCCAGTAGAAAAATGAGCTGGGCTACGCTCACTCGCAAACCCCGAACAGTCCAAAATTCGGTCCACCCGAGTGATAGTTCGTGACTTAGTTTTGTTTTTTGCGATTTCAGTAGCTACCTTTTTTTTGAGAAACCCTGAAATGTTTAGGTAAATGCTGCATCAATGTACGAGCGTGCGCTCAATCTTATTGCGGAAGCAGAGAAATCGAAGAATGCAAAAAAGAGTGAACTATACAAGCATCTTATGGAAGCGAAGCCCAGTGCAGCTCATCGGTACGATTCTGTCCTCTGTTTTTTTTTCAATCTCCTAAAATGGTCCTCTACAGATTAAAAGTTTTGGAAAAGGAAATCGCCGAAAACAGATCGGAGAAAGTTGGAGGTGTTGATGACGAGAAACATGAGAAGGTTAGAGGGCTCGAATATTCTTTTTTGTGTATTCTCTTATCTTATCAGTATGTTTTAAGTGCTTCGTATAACTTCCCCATTATTCATGTATACCTTTATTTTGCGCTTGCTCAACTACCAGTCTATTTATTTCATTATGCAGGCGAAATCTGAACTTCGAGATTGCTTGGAGGGAGTTGGGGATGCTGAGGCTGACGTTATTTTCTCCATTCCGGATGGGGTTCAGCTTTTCAGTATAGATGTGAGTCATTTTTTTAGATCACGCTTACCATAACTTATGCACAAAGTGAATGGGTTTAATATCGAGTTGAAAATCAGTTAGCTCACTTTCAAGGGAGATGAAACTACAGTACCAACATATCCAACGTCCTTGCAAATTCTTCGTTTCAATGCGACCGATCCAACATCAAAGCTCCCACGAGCTCCAGCTGATGCCTTGATACAGGTGATTACAAATATAATTATCATTTGTCGATCTTCATTAAAATTCTCATGCTCACACTTGGTTCATTGACGAGGTATTTCTGTTCCTGGGTGTCTTCGATCTGTTTTTTTTTTGAGCTACAATTTCTTTTATTAAAGCTGGGTACAGGTTGGGTATTGAACAAGAAGTTATAACTGACTCCCTTTTTTTCTTCCCTCTCAAAGCCACAACCTCAGATCAAATCGATGGGGCACTAACTAATCCCTTCTCTTCCCCTCGAAAGGAGCGAGAGGCGCGGCCGGACGAGTCGCCCGTACTTGCTTGCTCCACTCCACTAACCCGCGCGTATTGTCACGACGACATCGCCTGTTTTGGCATTTTGCACCGCGTGGGACCAGAGCGATTTTGCGAGCGCCGCCGCCGCACACCAAATCCATGGATTTTGAGCTGTAAATACGCAACTTAGAGATGCGATGAAGTGTTTTCAATAATGTTCGATCTGTCTAACTTATCGGGAGTTACAGTAATGGAAGTTTGACCGAAATGACGTGTTAAGGCCATGAAAAGGCAAATTTTACTTACTTTCCCTTTAGTGGTTCCAAAATTAATTTGGACGTGGTTGTTTCAGTAAAAACACATATCTTCCCATACGTTTGTATTCGCTTCTATTATTCCTTTTTATCAACATGTTTACGTTAATGAAAAGAAAACGAGGAATGAACTGAACAGACATATCCGTAAGGTCTGGAAAACCTCTGCCAAACTAAAGAATATTTGGCCTTTCTGTGAGCCATGTGGTTTTAAGTATGCTAATGTATGGCCTATAGAATACAAAGACCTTAGGAATAAGTCGCGCAAGCGCAAGAAAAAGGGATGACTTGGGTGGGACGCGTTACCGCGTCACAATGTCCCACGAGGTGCGCAAAGTGGGACGCGTTACCGCGTCACGCTGTCGTCAACGTGTTAATCAGCCGCCATGCGCCATGCTGTGTATTACGAGGTGTGCGTGAGGTTGTTCGTTCATAAGTTCACATTAGTCGCCATCAGATCTTTCGTAAGGTCCAGTGTCATTGTCGTGTACCTTCGAGCTGCGACAGCGGCACATGTGTGACACCCGCGGGCTACCCTATCCACTTGCAGAATAGATTCTTCAAACAACCTCATCTAGGGTTGTTGCTTCAAACAAATGCTATCCTACTTCTGCTAGATCTTGCGCGATTCCAGCTCAATATTTGATCAAAACCCTTCTGGTACATTTAATTTCTGATCGTGTCTTATAAGGAGTGGTCTTCAAATCGCTATAGAGCCGTGAGTGGGAAGAGTCGAGGTAAATCTGTAGGATCAGAAAAATCAGTCTCAAATATGGATACTATAGGCTGCTATGAGTACTCCCTAAGAAATTTGTCAGCAGTTAAAGTTGGCAAGATATGCAGCAGCAAAGTAGTTGTGGCGACACTCCTGGCTAAATTGATTACGGAGGTCTCCTATTTCGTGTGTCGTGGGAAGTTAAGCCTCTCTGGTTAGTTGTACACACAGTTTCATTTCAGGTTGGACCATGGGTCTACCCTTTGGTGACAGGAAAGACTCCTGTCCTACACAACGACTTTGGCGCATATGTTGTTCCAAATCCGACTCAAGATCACCCAAGTGAGCTCTTCTTTTTCACTTAGAATGCATTTATAGGTTGTGCGGTGCACTCCTTTTGTGAGAAGAGTTTGAGGTCGACCGAATTTTTGTGAATACTGTTTGAGGCCCCAATTTCCCTTCGAAATAGTATTCTTCTAGACGGGAGCCCAATTTCCCTTCGAAATAGTTTCTTCTAGACAAGGTCTTTGGTTTTTTAAACGTTTGCTTGGGGGGGGTGGGCGTGGATATGAGGCTGTGGTTAGTGGTTTAGTGTAGCTATTGTTAGGACTAAACATAAGCTAGAAACGGCAGCAAAGAATGTTTGGCATGCTCATAAGGTTCGGGTTTGTTGTAGCACGGCCGTATTGCCCTTTATGCCTATGACGGTGTGGGTCGCTAAGACAAAAGCGGTGTTCTCGCTTTCCGCAGCGCAGAACTTTTTCGCTGTCCAGCCAGGACCAGGACGGGAAAGTTTCGCACTGTGAACAGCGGAAAAGTCGCATTCTATTCTAGCGACTCACACTGCCTATGACATTGCCTGAGTTCTCTTACTCGAAGCAATCTATAAAAATAATATGTTCAGTGACAAAGCAACTCAACAATTCGTTTTAGACTTGGCCGTCGCTATAATTTTACCGGCTGATGCAGGACCTCAGGTTGAAGAGGAATTCCGTCAGGTAAAGACAAGCACTTGCATGCGTAGGCAGTTCGATTTCTTGATGTTTTCAGATTTTGGGACAATTTGCTGATGTGCGGGATCAAGATCTGAAGAAAGAGCTTTCAGAGGAAGACAGTAAACATATCAGCAAAAAGATCGCGAAATTACTAATCACGGCGTTCGTTCTCATGTTCTTATGAAATGTTGAAAGCTTGCTAGTAAGAGCATTTCGTAAAGCAGTTACTTCTATTCAAGAAGAGATTTGCGTCAAAATGCACTTTTAGATGATGTAAAATGATATGAATTTCAGTAGCTTTCTAATCAACACATTACGTACTCTTCGTTACATTTTAAAAGCATAGCCTCGCTGAGACAACCATCACACCTCGCGACGGACAAGCGATTAGGCGATGTAGCGACGCTCCAATCACTTCTCGCGTCGCTTGCCAATTGCTCGGCAAGAGGGATTGTCAGTAGCTGCTGCGATCGATATGCAGCCGACCGCGACGTGGCGGTGCGAATCCTCACGTCCTTTAGGCGACGTCTAGTCGGCGACGGACACGATGGATCGCTCCGCTTTGTCGTCGTCGTACTATGACGTCGTTTACGCACAGTGGCGAGATTGCACAATCGCTTGTCAATTCTCACGGAGAGCGATGGACTCGTCGCCGTTCATAGTGGATGGACTGTTTCCCCCCCCCCCCCCCCCCCCCCCCCGCCCCGCCCGCAGGCGGTCCATAGTGGTACTTCGAGATTTATAAATTGTTAATTTTATCTTTACAGAGAGTTTGAAGGTTATTTTTATTCCAAACAAAGTTGCCAGGTCTGTTTTGTTTTTCAATTTTTCTTACATGTACTTCGCCGTGAGTCTCAGTGGTTCTGTAGTGAGAGTTCTGAAATTTTATGCACATTGTCTTGAGGTGCATCTCTGGCGTGAATCTTCAGTTTGTCGGCGGTATTCCTGTGTGAGTTTTTTTTTTCTTCCAGTAATGGAAGCATTGCAGGTGGAGAGCGTGTAGCTTGGGGAGTGGAAACACAGCGGCTGTAAAAGTGACGTCATACTTGGACGACAAGGGAGAGAAGTGAGTTATCGTAGTTGGACGCCATTTTCGGTAATTTGCTTCTAAAATTCTGTACTATATATTTTCAACCTGATTGGCTCTTCCCGGGGAAGCGAAATAAGAAACACTCCCTATATCCATTATTTTTATATATTTTTTATTTTGTTGACTGTTGGCACAGTCAACATGAGCACCACATAGGAAAAGCAATGGAACGACAAAAGAGCTACACTTGGGAACAGCATTTGTATTAAAAAGCGGACAGTGTTTATTTCGAATATTTTGTGTCCTCCTATTTAAATGAGGGGGGGGTTAGTTACGTGAGAGTTCAGACTATTTGCTTGCTAATCTTTCCACTTGTGACACCACCTTGGAGTTGTATGATCACAAAGAGCTTGGTTCACCTATGTAGTGAGAATGGAAGACAAAAAAGGTTTGCTTGGGATCAAAGTAGCAGGAAAAGCGAAGAGATGTAACTAAAATCCTGCGTCGTCGTTTTTTTCAGAATGTTTATTAATCTTGTCTGTGAGGCAGGTATGTTGAATTTTGCTTTGCAAACTCCATTTCCTTCTTACAGGTATCGAGCTGGCCTGGCTCCACCGAGAGCCCTATGACCATTAACCCGGCTCTTAAAGGAAGTTTAGTTTACATGCACAAAGGATCAAAACTTGTGGCCAAATGCACTCGATATTTGCGTGAGTTCCATACGCTTCTACTTCTTTGTTTGTCCGAAGTACGCAAGGCGCGTTGGAATTGTTTTAATTCCAATCTCCAAAGCATTTGTTTTGCCCTGTTCCTATTCTTAGAGTTTTCTAAGTTTGAGTTTAGTGTTTCTTCGTAAGTGTTTGATGTCAAGCGTCAACTAAGAACCGTAATTAAAATGTTAGCTCTATATACTAGGGAGGGGGTAGTGTAGTGACAATTTTGCGCACCTTCCCTAGCGCGGCTGGTGGGATCAATCTGAATTGATAACAAATATGTCGATTAACGATGATAGAAGAGCCAAAAACCAATTCATCACCTTCGAGTGAGAAATAGTCAGTATCTTTTGACTGAGCTTGTATACACCGGATCGCGTATAAGCGCCACTTACGATTCTGAATGGAAGTAAACTCGTGGCGCATGCCGGAAAGGGATTGATCGGCGCAAGATCCTCTATCTTTTCCGTTAATATGAAATGACTAGGTGTCTCTTCCAAATCATGGAAGGATCGCATCTGAACAGTTTCTGTCTTCATTTTGACGATAAATCCATTTCAGTGGATAAAATAGGTGACGCTGGAATAGCTATTGGGCGATCATTAGCATCTGGTGCAGAAAGGACGTTGGGTAAAGGCAGTGGTGGTGGACTCGTGACGGGCACAATATGTGAGTTTGTTACCTCTCTGTGCTTCCTGTGATGGTCATATTTCCACAACTTTGTTTTAGCTGTGATAGGAGGCGGTATTGTGGGTGTGAGCACTGTATGGATGGCACTTGAGGACAACAGTCGTACGCTTTGCCGGAATATTGCTGATCAGACGGTTCGGAATGTGAAGATAAAGTGTGTTTGTTTGATTCGCTGAGATGTTCAGGCTCTGCATATGTGGAAGTCCTGCTCAACATGATTTCCTGTCAGATGTTACTTTTGAAGGTACGGAGATGAAGCATCGGAAGCAGCTCATCATGCCCTGTTTGCTGCAGGCCACAGTTCGTTGGCAGCTGCTCAGCTTTGGGATCTTGGACCTCGCAGTATCGCTGGTCGAATGGCAAAGCGTGCCGGAGTCCAGGTACTAGGAGTATTTTGAAAGCCTTCAGCATAATATAAGATGATCTGTAATTTTTAGCTGGTGAAAGATCTCCACGAGAAACGCGCTGGAGAACCGCTGCCATTAAAGACAAGGCTGAAGGACCCAAAGCTGAAGGAATGAACATTATAAGAACTGTTTTTCATTTCTTGTGACCTTATTGGGTGTAATAGGAGGCATAATTGATTTGTGATATTGTTAGATCAGGTTAGTCCAATTTGATGCTTTCCAGCAATTTTTGTCATCTACCGCAGTTTCTTGCCAAGTTTTGAAAAGACTTTCATTGAAGTGTGGCTCTTATTAACTGTTACCCTGTTTGCCGTCCACCGTACACTTTCTCATGTTAGTACAATTGATATTATGGCCAGATATGTAATTGTTTCGCAACGTCTCTGACTAGTTTCAATTCCAAAGCGTAGGTGATGGTGCTGTACTAAAGCTTCTTCCTTTGAATACCAATGTTTCTTGCTAGTCTCTTCGAGTTTGTTTTATGTATTATATGTTTATACCTGAACGAGATTTTTTATGTAAATAAACATTCATACTAATTGGTAATGAATCAAAGAACAGTAGACACTGTGTTTTATCCATGGAATGACTATACTCACTCTGTTGCAGCATATATCATGGTGCGGTGTACATACACTGTCCTTTAGCACTGCTGAACAATAGTCCAGCGAAAACAGTTGAGAAAAAGAAGAATAGGCCGAAGTGTAAGTCCTTCTCTTATTTTCTTGCATTTTGTTATCTTGCTTCGAATTGCGCCCCTTCTAATAAGTTGCTATGATGTAGATCTATTCTGAAAATACTAAGCTAAGGAGTGGTGTAAAATTGGAAGGGAGGGGTTCAAGCAACCTCGGGGATTTTATTCCTGCAAAAAATGCAATTTCTCTAGGCGGCAGTAACTGTCGCTCTCCACACCACTTCATCCCTCTTTATTGTATTTGGGAAAGACCCAGATCTTGTACTTTAGCTTTATTGTATTAGGTTGTCTCATAAATAGTGTCGCTTTTTTTCAACCAGAAAAATTTTGATCTAAATCCCCATGCTTTTACAGAGAGTTATATACCATTCAAAAGAGAATTGTCTGCTCTACAAAATATCGTGTTCTTCTTCCATCTATGTTCAATGGTTTTCAAATTTGAGGCATGCGAAATGGGAGGTCCCGCCGACAAAAATTGACCAAACCGACAACTAGCTCTAACTTTATGTTCCCTTCGGAGAAATCAATCAATGATGTACCCTCTACTTATGCATGACCTCTTCTAAACATTACACTATTAGGTTTCCCAACAAGTCGCATCATTCCATTTCCAGACCCGGTTTTTCAACCAGAACTCGACGGTTGAGCACCATTACCTGAGATCGAGGTCGAAATTTTTTTACAGCCGAGACATTGAAAAACTAGTAGAATTTCAAGAACAAGTCGTGACTAAGTTAGGAATGTACGCCTGGTTGGTTCGTATGGACTCGATAGCGATTTGGCTTAGGCGACTTCGCTGGATCTCCGAGCGTCATTGCGCCAGCAACTCGACTGATGCACACAGACGAGTCGAAACGATGTACCAGCGACTACCAATAGTGGAGGGCGGGTAAACCACAACGTTCAAGGGAAGTGCCGCCACTTTCAAACAGTGTCACTTGACAGTGACGTTCCATTGAACGTTGGGTCCCGCGCCACTATTGAGTCGCTGGTACCTCGTTCGACTCGCTGGTGCATCAGTCGATTCGCTGGCGCAACGCTCGGATCCAGCGATTCGCTAGCGAATCGCTCGATTCGCAAACTATGACATCGGCCTAAGATCTGAACGAAAATCGACATTTACTTTCCCTTTCTCCTCCTGAGTCTTCCCCAAATACAATAAAGCAAGTGTTAAGAACGAGAAAAACAAAATAAAATACATTCGTTTTGGTATCAAATTACCAGCCGGACTCTGTCAACAAATGGCGAAGTACGGCTGTGGATGATATGAAGAAGCTTTCACGGGATTATGCGTGCTGTCATCAAAACTCTTCCTGACCTTTCACTTACTGCATTAATTTCTCACACTTCAACTGCATTATTCTATCGATCTTTTGTCTCTATTCTCCAAAATCGAACCTTTAACCTGATTCTTTCAATGCGTCGCCTGATACGTGGCCGCCCCAAGGCGCACTTCTTTCCATGCCCCGCCTTTGGCTCCGCGCGACCTACCTTCGACTGTCCATAGAGTGCGGTTTTCTTGGCTTTTTCTCTTCGGAAACAAACCCACGAAAAACACTGTTGGACAGTTCGGAAATCGAATCATTTTGCGTGAAACTTTGTATGTTGTCTCTAGATCATAACCGACATAGTCATGTGAAAGAATGCAAGAATTTCTGCGAAGATTTCCTTGAAAGAGTGAATTATGGAATTATAACTACAGGAAGAAAAACATCAAGTTGGTGGCGTCTGAAACCTCTCAAGATCAGCGCTTTGTAATTAGCGATGAAATGAACGGCGAAGACAAGGCAATAGAGGAAGCTTCTGAAGAGGTTGAGCAAGACGACGAGGACGAAGCTGGGCAAAGTACACAGAAAGAAGGTTGTCCTACTTGGTAGCTATATATGTACTCACATAGCTGTTGGATTCCAGTAGTATTCCAACATTATGGTTCAGGAGGAGCGGGTGAACTCAACGATGATGACGACGACATTGATAATCCCGGAGTCCAAACAGAGGAAATCAGGAGTATGTACTATTTTCCATTTGATTTTTCTTGTTATCATTCGACTTCTCTGCATTCCGCAAATTCAACTGTTTAAAGGTACTGTATTTTTCTCGTATTCCGCCAAAATTCACGCCATCAAGGTTACAGGAATATTTTGAGAAACACGCGCCTGGTATGATTGGCAGGGTTCATTGCACGGTAACTTTTTTGATATTTTATTTCAAATGAGTTTTTCTTGTCCTTCCATAATTCTTGAAAAGTTTTTCATTATTTCAGCGTAATAAAAATGCGAAAACGATTGAAAATCGTTATCTAGAGGGATGGTTGGAAGTGAAACGGAAGAAAGTTGCTAAGGCTTTAGCTGCTCGATTTGACAACTCTCCTGTGGGTGGGAAGAAACGAGACTACACGTCAAGTGTCTTGTGGAACATCAAGTATCTAAGCTCGTGAGTATTCATTTGCTTCTTGAAAATATTTTTTGAGCTCTCTACCATTTCGCATCAAAACGTATAAGTGATGATCGGTGACTTAGTAGAAGTTCATTCTTGTCACCAGCTAACTTCACAAACTAC